CCTGCCTCAGCCTCCCGAGTGCTGGGATTACAGGCGTGCACCACCACACCTGGCCAATTCACGGTATTTCAAATTGAAAGCAACATTTCAATGGATTCAAAACTATTACACGCTGTTTTTTAAAATGGGTTAGAAGCTAGGCATGGAGGTGCATGCCTGTAACGCCAGCACTCAGGAGGCTGAAGCAGAAGGATGGATAGGAGTTTGAGGCCAGCCTGGGCTACACAGCAAGACCTTGTCTCAACAACAAAAAACAGTAAAATAAGTTAGAAAATGTGTAATTGTAAAAATGAAGCACATGCTGATATTTAGAATGCATAATTAAGAAAATAAAGTTGGTAATCTATGGTACTAGGCCACATTTGGCTTACTGACTTTTCTAAAAATAAAGCATTATGGGGGCCAGGGATTTAGCTCAGCAACACAGCACCTGCCTGGTAAGCATGAAGTCCTGGGTTCAATCCCTGGTACCAAAAAAAGAAAGGAAAAAAAAAAAGCTTTATGAAAACACAGCTACACACATCCATTCGAATCCAGCACAATCTATAGTCGACTTTGTGCTATGACACCAAGTTGAGTTTAGCCTAGAGAGCTGAAGTTTGGTACTGCCCAGGAAGAGGCTGCCTGTGTGACCAGATTGCAATATAAGCCCTGAGCACTGAGTCTAATAGCTTCCCTGGTGGGCAGCATTACCCAGGTGCTCACACCTTCTTTCTGGGGTCAGAGTGGGTCCTGTGTGACTCTCCTCGGAGCTCTCGGGGTGCCTGTGCCTGGCCTCTGGGCTTTGCTCCCACACCTGTTCACTTTGCAGAGTTTGCTTTGTGTGTGTCCTTCAGTCACAGCTACCTGGAAGCCAAGAACTGCGAGTGGACCTGATGTTGTGACCGACTCCTCCACAATGCCCGGGCAGGTGTTTTCCTCCCACCCCTGCATCTGGCACCCTGAAAGATGGCCTTGTGTAACACGCCAGAAACTGCAGTGGAGCACACTAAACCGTGGCTAAGTAACAGTCTGCTCTTGCGATCTGTAGAATGGAAGAGCATCTCAGGGCTAGGCAGTTGGGATGCAAGGTGTGTTATGTGGCCACAGACCTCCACCTGAAGTGGTGTCCATCAGCCTCAGATCACCCATACCACATAAATGGCCCCAAATTGGCCTCTGGGCAAGATGGAATTTAAACAGAGGTTCTCCATCTTCTTGGACAGGTGAATTCTTGAATAAAGACGTCTTCCTTGCCTCAACACCTAGCCAGGTGTGGTGGTTTATGTGTGTTATCCTAGCACCCTCAAAGGCTGAGGCAGGAGGATTTCAAGTTAGAGGCCAATCTGGGCTCCTTAGCGACTTGAGGAGGTCTTGTCTAAAAATAAAAGATAAAGGGCCTTCAACTCAGTGTGAATGCCCTGGGTTCAATTTCCAGTACTGCAAAAAACAGGAAACAAAAACACCTTGTCGGTGGACTTGGCAGCCTGTGGTATGGGTAGCGAGACTTGGGTGAGGCTATCAGCAGTCCTTGCTAGCTGGTCCTGCGGATCTTCCCGGCAAGTCAGCAGGCCTGGGTGGGCTAAGCCCTGACACGAGGTGGTCCTGGGCCCTCTAGGAAAGCGCTGTGATGCCTAAGGAAACTATCGTCTTCCTGCATTTCCGGTCTGGACGAAATGTCTCCCGCTGTCCCGGACGACTTTCACGGCCTGTTTTGAGGCAGGGCGCATTCAAGCTCCGTCTGTTTTCGACTCTTTCCATCCTCCTGGACGCAGGCATCGAGGGCAGGTGTCTCGCAGCCTGGCCGGCCCCCTGCACTTCCATGGGTTTCCCTGGGTTTCCCTCCGCCCTGAAAAACGGATGCCTTTAGCGATCCCGATATGAGAGTGGCGCCCAGGCGCGCGAGGGCAGATGATCTGCAAGCGCCTGCTCCACGCAGCCTTTCTGGGCGGTCGCAGCCGCGGGGCTCTGCGACACCATGGCCTTCAGGTGGCCTCTCCGGCGACTAAGGGCTCACACTACCCGTCCCTGCCCGCCGTCGCGGACGTCCCGAGAGGTCCTCTCCAGTGGCCTCGCCAACCATCTGCCACGCAGGGTCCAGTTGTGCGGCCCGGCCACTGCGCGGCGGTGGCGAGCGGCTCGGCGGTGTCTCAGGTCATGACTTAGGGCGAGTGGCGTCGCAGGAGCGTGACGTAAGGCTGGCGTTGTCGCGGGACGCTGACGTGTCGTGTGACGTCACACGCGCGCCGCAGCTTGGTCCGCTTGTGGAGTCGGCGAGGGAGACTATGGCTCCGGGCGTGCAGCTGCCTCCCGAGATCCAGCTGGCGCAGCGCCTGGCAGGCAACGAGCAGGTGACCCGGGACCGGGCGGTGCGGAAACTCCGGAAGTACATTGTCGCCAGGTCCCAGCGGGCCACAGGTGGGCAGGGCCCCTGAGGCGCGTGGGGCCTCCGCGTGGTCTGCGGCACGGCCGCTTCGCTTCTGCCTGTGGGGGCGGTGAAGCGAGGTCGCGCTGCGGGGACACCCCGGTCGCCCAGGTCCTTCCCAGGCCCGGCCTACTCTCCTCTGGGAAGCCTTCACCATCAGTCCCTCTTCGGGCCGTCCGCGTCTCCTCTGCACCCGGCCGGCTTCTGTCTGTGTCCGGGTGGCGTTGTCGTCCGGGTGCCGCCATAAGTCCCTGAGGGCTGAGAACCTGCCTCCTGCTGACTGCTCATTGTGCCTGCTGTCCTGCGTGCGTGTACCCTCCCTCTACTCGCAGCAGCTGGATCACCTGGGTGTTTCCTAAAAAGAAATTCCGATTCTGGGGGCCTGGCCCAGTGGAATCTGAAGCCCTGGCGCCCTGTGCTTTAGGAAGCTCTGCATTTGTGCACTGCGGTCTCTGTTGTCTCAGTCCACCGCTGCAGGGACAGTGCTCCAGCTCACAGGGCCCCAGTGAATGTCGCCGGGCCTCCTTTGCTAGCCTGAATGATGAGTTAACTTCCTTCTCTTGATATTTGAGATAACACAGTTGCACGCCCCGAAATCCACTCGTGACCACCATCCAGTAAGGAAGGGGCTGGAATTCTGAGCTGTGATTCTCCCAAGTGGAGTGTGGTGGCTGATGCCTGTAGAGGCTCAGCAAGTATTTAGTGGGTGCAGGAGGTTACCTGGAGGGGACCGCTCACCCTGAAGCCAGCAGGCTCTGAGTTGGAATGGTTGCTTAGGGAGGGGGCCAGCGTGCCCCCCAGGTCCCCTACAACACACAGGAGTTTGTTTTTTTGTTGTTTTTTTTGTTTGTTTGTTTTTTGGCTTTTTGAGACAGGGTCTCACTGTGTAGTTGAGACTGACCTGGAACTTACTATGTAGCCCAGGCTGGTCTCAAACTCACAGCAATCCTCCTGCCTCAGCCTCCCAAGTGTTGGGATTACATGCGTGCACCACCACACCCGGCCCTACACACAGGAGTTTGGATGAATCCCAGTGGCCATGCTTCGTACCAGGCACTAAAGGGTCAAGCTTGTTTAGTGTGAACACTGTGGTTTGTTTCAGGGGGCTTCACACATGATGAGCTGCTGAAGATATGGAAAGGACTGTTTTACTGCATGTGGATGCAGGACAAGCTGCTCCTGCAGGTGAGCACGTGGCAAGGTGGCCTGAGAGGCTGGGGGGAGTTTGGGAGGTAGGGGGCTATTGCTGCCCATTCTAGTGGAGACAGAGGCACGTGCTTTGGTCTGTGTGGCTGGTCATGTGGAGGACGGATCTGAATGCCGTGGCAGTGCTGGCAGTGGGGCCCGGGCTGGGTGGAATGGGTCGTTTTGTGTTTATCCCCAGTATGGTAAAAAAACTAAAATGACAATTTAAGGGCAGAATGCAGATCTTCGGGGAGCAGATTTCCTCCTGCTGGCTGTTTAAAACAGTGGTTCCCAAAGTCTGAGCTGTTAGCTCTGCAGAATCACCTGAGCGTGAAGATACTTACTTAAATTTGGGCTCCAGGCTCACTTCTGTCTTCTGAATGTCTCTCAAGGAAGGCTCTGGAATCCTCTGACTGAGCAGGGGCACAGAGTGATGCTCGGTGCTGAGGCAGTCAGGGGGTGACTTATGGGTGGGGGTCTGGTTGGCCACATCTCCCACTAAGTGGCTGTGATCTGTCCCACGACCCCTGTGACTGTCACCTTCTTGCTCAAGGCACAGTCTCACTGCAGAAGTCAGCGGCCGTCACTATGGGGAGAGTGTCCACGCTGGCTGCGGAAGAGGCCTTTTGCGGCAGGGGAACTTGCAGAACCAGGGTGCACTGTGCTGGGATCCCTGGCAGCTTGTTTCCCGAGTGAGGGCATGTTTGTGTGTGTTCTCCTTACAACTGGAGAACACAGTGTTTCAGGGAAGGCTCTCTTTTCACTGTTTCATGCACAGGAGGAACTAGGAAGGACCATTTCCCAGCTCATCCATGCTTTTCAGACCATGGAAGCACGTGAGTAGCTCTGTGTGGCTGAACCTCGTCTGTGAGTCAGGCCACAGCCACAGAGGGTCATGCGGAAAGCAGCCTATAGGCCGCCTGTCACCGGAATAGACTCTGCTCAGGAGTAGGGAGGCTGAGTCCTTCCAAGTAGGACAAAGAGCAGGGTAGTGATCCCACAGAATGGCTCCCACCTGATAGTTGGGCAGCTCCCACAGTGTATTTCTCTAGCTGTTGTGTTTTATCCTGACCGTGTGAGTGATTCTCACTTTGCCTGCCCATGGGAATCATTTGGGCGGCCTTGAAGCTTCCTGATGTTTTTGCCGGATGTGGTGACACATGCCAATAATCCCAGCTACTTGAGAGGCTGAGGCAGGAGGATCACAAGTTCAGGGCCATTCTGGGTAATTTAGCAAGACCCTTTCTCAAAATAAGGGTTAGGGATGTAGCTCACTGCCAGAGTGCTTGCCCACCATGTTGAAGCCCTGGATTCCACAAAGATGATTTGAAAGAGTCCTGAGGTGCAGACCTTGGTCCACTTGGACCAGTTCTGAGGGTGTGGCCAGGGTGTCACCGCCTTAGACCCTGGGCCCTGCTGAGGGCCATGGGAGCTGATGCAGCAAGAAGCAAGGTGCTGGAGCCTGCTCAATGGTCTCTGCCCCATGCGTGCTGGCTCGCTGACCTTGGTGACGATGCCACATAGACTTGTGAGGCCCCACAGGCTCTGGCTGTGTGTGCCCTGTGTCTGTCATGTGTATCTGGGCCTCTGTGGCCTGGGCTGAGGGTCCGAGTGGGGGCTTGTGTGTCCTCAGCCCCTCTGCAGTGCTGGCATTCACACGCCCACCCTGTTCTGCAGAGCACTTGTTCCTGCGAACGTTCTGGCAGACCATGATCCGCGAGTGGGCAGGCCTGGACCGGCTGCGCCTGGACAAGTTCTACCTGGTGAGGGGCTCCCTCCCCGTCCAGCTCAGCTCCACTGTGTGTGGCCCTTGCTTGGCGGGCTGTCTCCGCTGTCCCGGACTGTGTGTGCTGGGGTGGCTTCCCCGCTGAGGGGACCTGCTGGAGTCTGGGTCCCACTTCTGCTGACTGCCCCCTTCCGTTGCACAGCTCATGCGCCTGGTCCTGAATGAGGCCCTGAAGGCTGTGAGGATGCGAGGCTGGGAAGAAAGGTCAGTCCACGCCCAGGGCCACCTCAGCTCCGGCCCGGGGCCCGGAGTCACACACTTCCCTGGAATTCTTGGTCTGCTGAGGGCATAGTTTGAAGCGGCTCTAAACCTGGCCAGTGCGATGGGGCCAGGGCTCAGAAGGAGCAGACGCTGTCTGCCGGGTTCTCAGGGGTCACTGTCCACAGCTCTAGAAGCCTTCGAGTCATCCAAACTTGTCGTGCTAGTGGCGGTGCTTGGGGGTGACCTAGTCCCTGCTCCAGGAGCTGCTTCACGTGGGCTTTGGCAGGCAGTGGCGACGCTTGTCCTGTGCACGTCTGGACAGCTTTGGGCTTTGAGGTCAGACCCCAGATGCCATGTGGTCACTGGAGGCTGCCAGGTGCAGCACATTGCCAGATTTTTTGTTGTTTTTTTTGGTACTGGGGATTGAACTCAGGTCCTTGTGCTTGTGAAGCAGGCAGCAGCACCACTGAGCTACATCCCCAGCTCCTGGTTTTTTGTTTTTTAAGAGACAGAGTCTCACTACGTAGCTCAGGTTGCCTGGACTCCTAGCGATCCTCCTGTCTCAGCCTTTTGGGTGCTGGGATTACAGGCATATGGTCACCACACCCAGTATTTCCTATTCTAAATTAATATATAGTTATAAAAATTATTTTCCAATTATAGATGACGTGTGCTCAGTATAAAGAACTCAGAAAACTGTCATGAAACATTAAAAAATGTTTTGATTTTCGTGTGCTGGACCTTAAAGCTAGGGCCTCTCACATGCTCTGCCTTTTGAGTTAATGCCCCAGCCCTGGAAAGTAATTTTAACTTCAATAGATAATTACTTTAAAAATGTTACATAGGGGAAGCTGAGGCAGGAAGCTCACAATTTGAGTCTCATCTGAACGACTTAGTAATACCTTGTTTCATAAACAGGAGGTCTGGGGATGTAGGTGAGCATAAAGGCCAGTTTCATCCTCAGTACCACAGAAAGGCTGCATGGAGCCAGCACAGGTGTGCAGGGCCACTGGTCCATCTCCGTCAGCATCCTAGTGGATTCTGCTGCTAGGTAGCGAGTAGCTTCTTTTTGTTTTCGTTGGGCCGGTTAGAGGCTTTGGAACTGATTTGTGAGTGAGAATCATGCTACAGGACAAGTGGGTGACAGTGGACCCGGCGCCCCCATGTTGGAAGAGCTGCTTTCCCATGCTGGCCTGCAAGGGTGAGGGGCAGGCGAGCCCTTGCCCAACTGCGGTTCCGTCTCCGAGGAGGAGAGTGCAGGTGGTGACGTGTGCCCTCGCAGCATCAGGGCAGCAGCAGCCCCCAGTCCTGGCTCGGGTCTGTGCCCCGTTCCCAGTGAGGACTGGAGGCTAGCATCTCTCCCTGGTGGCAGCGTGTGTGGTCGTTACCACAGAAGCTGCTTTGCCCTCGTGGCTCCTGGGGCTCTCCCCTGCCGGGTGACTGTGTGGGCTGGGCCCGAGCCCTTCTGGCCCCGTCCAGCATGTGGAGCTGCTCTCTCGTCTGGTCCACTGGCCTGGCAGCAGGCGCTACCTCGTTTTTCTCTTGGGTTTGCACCTCATGTTGCATCTGTCTCCTTTTCCTGAGCCTGCTGGAACTGCGCTGTTCCTGTAATGGGATTCCGTGCATTGGCGTTCTCCGAGGGGCGCCTGATGCTTCTGTGTTTTCTTTTGTTTTTTTGGTACTGGGAATCGAACTTGGGTCCTTGCACTTGCGAGGCAGGCAGTGGAACCACTTGAGCCAACCCCCTGCCTGTGTTTTGTTGTGTGTGTGTGTGTGTGTTTTCATTTTTTGACACAGGATCTTGCTGGGTGGCTCAGGCTGGCAGGAGGCCCCTTAAAGGGTGTGTTTTGTAGTTGCAGGTGTGGAGGTCTGCAGTCCACCTTGAGTGTTGGGTGTACCTGACTGCTGCCACCGCTAACTCTTGGGGGCTGAGTCCTCAGGTGCAGGGCTCTGAGATCCCACTGCATCTGAAAGAGCTGTGGTGGCACTTGTCACCTGCCCTGCCCCTGCTCCGGCCAGCCCTGGGGGGACGCAGAGGATGGAGGGGAGGCCTGCGCGGGTCCAGATCATGCTGTGTGTTCTCATGGGGGACATGGCCACTCGACCCTATGACCAGCCGCCTCCATGCGCCCAGACCCAGGGCCACTGTTGTTCGCTCCTGAGTGGAGGGGCGCCTGGCTGTGTGTTCCTGCCAGGGTCGCGGTGGGGACAGCGTGCATGTAGCTGCTGGATCACCCACACCCCGTACAGGGACATCGAGCAGCTGATGGCGCTGCTGACAACTGAGATCTTGCACGAGGACAGCCAGGCTCCCAACGGCGTGAAGAGCCACTTCCTGGAGGTCTTCCTGGAGGAGCTGGCCAAAGTGGGCGCCGCAGAGGTGAGGTGGGCTCCAGAGGCTGGCGTGGCCCAGAATGGCCGCTGCGTGCCGAGGCTGAGCTGCTGCCCTTGCTTCTGCAGCTCACGGCAGATCAGAACCTGTGGTTCGTGGAACCCTTCTGCCAGATCGCCGCGCTCACTAAGGAGTAGGTGCAGGTGGCGGTGGGCCTGCCCCGCTACCCTCCCTTCCGGGGTGGCTGCTGCAGGAGCTGCAGCACCCTGTGGCCCTGCTCCGGGCCCTGGGGTGGAAGAGTGGGCGGCACAGCCTGAGTGTCCAGCTCTGCTGCCCCTCAGCACTCTGGTTCTGCACAACATCACTCGGGGCATCTTCGAGGCCATCGTGGAGCAGGCCCCCTTTGCCATTGAGGATCTCATGAAGGAACTGGATGCGCAAGAAGGGGAGGACGAGGCGTCAGATAGCGATGGCGACTCCGGCAGTGACAAGGAGCTGCCTCACCTGAGGCTGCCTGCAGGTGGGGCCAGCTGGCTCAAGGTGCCAATCTCCCGGCACCCGTCTCTGGCTTCCTGCCGGGCTGCTCACGCTGCCTCCTGGTCGGGTTCTTGTTTCCGCCCTCTCCCAGGGGTTGGGTAACGTGGCAGCCAGGCTGACCTTGGTTCCCTGCCCTGGCTCACCCCGCGCACCTTGCCTGGCCCAGCTCCTGGGCGGCTCTAGTCCAGACTCGGGCTGCCTGCTGCTAGGTTGTCCGTCACCATCTCCCAGCTGGGGTGTTCCTCATCCCTGGGTGGCTTTCCCATGAGGGCTGGCAGCACCCTGTGGTCCCGGCTGTTCCCTGCCAACAGCATCTCAGTCCTGGGTGGGTGGGGACCCAGTGCACCACCCGCAGATGGCCCTGCACGGCCTGGGACAGCACTGCGGTGCCAGTGTCCCGCCTGGCCCATGCCCGGTCCCAGACTGGTGGTCACTGTCCACCTGCAGGGCTGAGCCCCAAGTGTCGCATGCTGCTGCCCTCCCCATGCCCTGGACCCTTTCATGGCCCAGGCTCTTCTGCCCCTGAGTTGCCTGCCATCCTGAGTCCCCTTCCTTGCCATCAGCAACCCAGAGCATCTGCTGGCGGGTTTCTGGTGCCTGCTACACACCATCCGGCTCTCTAGGCTAACTCCTGTCCTGTGCCACCCAGCCTGAGCCCCAGTGCCTCCCATGATCCCTGTCCAGGCCATCCCGTGTCTGGTCCTGCTACCCATCTCCCTCATTCGTGGAGTCCTGGCACTTCCTCTGCTCTCTCCAGTGCCCACCGCTCCAGGCACCACGTTCCCTTACCTGTGTCCCCTCCTGTCCCTACCTTGGTCTCCTGCATCCTGGGAGGCGCAGTGCTCTGGGATCCCCCTAGCCTGTTCCCTACACACACCAGGTATGGGGCTTGGGGTCATGGGATCCCTTTCCTTCTAGGCTTCCTGGAGCAGGAGGGACATGACGAGGACAGCTCTGGGCCCGTCCTCCAGGTAGGCACCTTCTTTCCCCTGCTGGCCTTTGGCTTGGAGGGGGACAGCGTCACAGGAAGGCAGCAGGTGAGGCTTAGGGGCCACCATGGAGGAGGTGCCCTGCTTGCCTGGCAGCTGGAGGGCTGGGCCGGGGCTGGGTTGCTGAGGAGCAGGCCCAGGCTGCTCTGCCTTGAGCATTGACATTTTGGGTCCCAGCTTGGAGTCAGCTCTGCAGGGGTCGGGACTAGAGTGTCGTGTGATGTTAGTGTCACCTGCCTGTCATATTGGTAAACTTTGGGGACCTGGGGTTAGATACACTGGTCGTGTTGCCTTCACATGCTTTGTCTCTGCCTGCCTGTGTGGGGAAAGCTGACATTGCTGTGAGGGAAGCCTGGGAGACAGGAACGGCAAGGGCTGTTCTCTGGCCACGCAGAGTCCCCTTGCTGGCCATGTGGGGCTCAGAGCTTTAAAGCAAGTGGGCATTGACTGACCCGGCCTCCCTGGCATCCATTCTGAGGTAGTTTGACTACGAGGCAGTTGCCAACAGGCTGTTCGAGGTGGCCAGCCAGCAGAACACCCCTTCTCAGAACAGGAAGCGCCTCTACAAGGTCGTCCGCAAGTGAGTGTCCCAGGTGCCCAGCCTCCTCCACAGGCCGCTGTCCTTCAGTGGCCCCAGCTGGCGGGGGGGTCTCCAGTGCCCACATAGGAGGGTGTCTTCTTGGCCCCGCTGAGGACCCCAGGGGTGCGCGAGCCGTCACAGTGATTCTGTGTCTTGCTCTTGCAGGTTGCAGGACCTCGCTGGAGGTGAGGCTGGGGCAGCACCCAGTGGCCCAGCTCAGGAGCATGGTGTCTGTGTGTGCGGTGTGGTTCTGGGGGAACAGGGGTTCAGGGTGCTCGCTGAATGGGCCTCAGCCTGGAGCGTCCGTGCACCCGTGTGAGCAGGCAGCACTGTTCCTTGGGTGCCCGGGCAGGCCGTGACAAGAGCCGGCCCACGGGCTCCCTCTGGGACGGCGTGCCTGGGCCGGCACCTCTGTGGGAGTCGGGCCTTTGCTGTTCTGACGGCCCTGCCCTGCAGGTCACTTCCCTGAGGACGAAGTCCCCGAGAGGGCCTGCAAGCGGCTGCTGCAGGGGAGGCGCGTGCGAAAGGCCAAGCGGCGCTGGCTGCAGCAGCAGGCACGGGGCCAGAGAGGTGGGGCCCGGGCACCGGGGTGGTGGCACTGGCCTGGGGCCGGCTGTGGCCCGCCCGGCGCCCACGGG